GTGACTAATCCATTCTTGGTCCTGAAACAATGGAAATTGTTCTAAAGTTATTGTAGATTGTATTTGGGATACAATATTCTTATTAAATTGGTTTACTTGAAAGAAATACAATACTGATTTTACTTGAATACAGTTACACAAGAAATAATATTTCTTCAGGGGAATGGGAAAATAAGGGGTTTTTTTCCTTTTAATTTTTTTTTGTTCACATGTTCACAATGGAAAGCGAGACTAAGTTCCAGAATACAAATAAATAAAAGCCATGTTTTGTGGCTTGTCATCTTGAACAATGACCTAGCAAATGCAAAATTAAACTTTAATGCATTTTTTGAAATATGAAGGAAGTAGAAGCATTCAAAATGTTATGAGCCTAGGAAGCATTAAGCATTTTTATAAAAATATTAATAATTTAACATGAAAACAGGTAAAATGATTAAATCCTTGCAAATACGTTGAAACAATGTCTTCAAAAATAAGTTAGCAATTTGCAAGTCAACTGTCAATAGGGTATCATGTTCTTACTTGAAAAGAAATTCTATTCTTAGTTGGTAGATATAGGCTGTTTAAAAAGATGGAAGGATTTATAAAGCAAAACCTTTTACGATTGTGGCAATAACAACAATCATTTAGCAGTCCCAGAGGTCTGCACATTCTTTGTTTTCCTCTCTCCAACCTTCCCTCTAATATGACCAAAATGTGACCAGTGAGTATGTTTATTTTCCTGAAAGGACAAGTGATCAAGAAAGATACTCAAAAGCTTTAAAATAAAAATAAAAATGGCATCAATCTTGTGATTAATATCACTCACACTGTTTATGATCATTGATTACTGTACTTACTTGGGGCCACAGGGGTAGGGACATGTTATGCAGATTGCTTATAAATCTTGACAATAAGAAATTTCTAGACCCTACATGGACTCAAAATTCACAAGCGAAACTATAAATTATGTACCTCTTAGGTAAGATAAATATTCTTCCTGAAATTTCATCTTGCTTGATACGCTTCCTGGTTTCTACCATACCTACAAGTGGAACACCACATTCCACAAAAACCTTACTTATTCATTTAATCTGAATAGACACATATTAACTATGTTTTTTTCTGGGTTAATTTTTTAGGAACATAAAGAATTTTCTTTGGTTATGGATTTATTTACGTATCCCCGGTAATAGATTTTAATTATTATATTATAATTGTACATATTAAGGGAGTATACACATAATATTTTAAAATGTATGTACAACATATAACATGTAATGATCAGATTCAAGACAATTGGTACATTCACCATTTCAAACACATTACTTGTTTCTAGTAGGGAGTGTGAAAATACTTTGTATTAACTCTTTGAAAGAGACCATTCAATGTTACTGACCAGTTACCTTGCTAGTTTATAGAAAACTAGAAGATATATCCCTTATCAACTATGCCCTTCTATCTGGTAAACACTTATTTCCAGCCTCCACTTTTCTACCTTCCCTAGCTCTAGTAACCACTACTCTCTATTTCTATGAGATAAACATTCCTAGCTTCTCCAGAAAAATGAGTGAAATGGGGAAACCAGCTGCTAGCTATCCAACAGAGAGGAGTATTGTGTGGCCGGGTAATGAAGAGGACGGAGTAATGTAGAAAAAACAACTACTAGCTGAAACTTCACAAACATATACAAAGCAGATCTACTAAATGGTAATATTTCTAAGATGTATACTGGGCTACAAGAGTTATGGTTTGCCAGAGTGGAGAGATCCCACTGATTACTTGGGGGTTTCCATCAGGAATTGCAGCAAATTATATCTCACTTCTCAATTTCTGTTGTACAGGTTATGATTACTTTGTCCTAATAAATCTGAAGAACAGACTAACAAATCATAAAAACCAAGCCTTGAAAGATGCCAACCCAGTGTGTCCCTCTTTAAGAGAAAAAAATAAGTTCAATAACAGTGATTTAAGTCACAACTTCCATTATGCAAGAAAAATTCATTGATATACCGAGAAGTAGAAATAGATCTAGAAAGATGGCAGAGATAACTGGGAAGAGGAAATTAGCAGTAAATGATGAAATTACGTAACAGTAAAATTAGCTATTAAAATCAAGTATACGTATTTAATGCAAGACGAACCAAGTAGGGAAATACAAACTGGAAAAAAAATACACCAATGAAATTTTTGGAGATTTAATATTTGAGTTTAATATTTAAAATGAGAAATCCACTGCATAACCTTAATCTAAAACACTGTAATAGAAAATACACACACTGAAGCATAAGGAGAAAGAAGGTTAAAAAAAACCTGCCAGAATTTTATTAATATATGGGATAATGTGGGAGAAGGCAAAATGCACATAATTGTAATTTCAGAAGGAGAGGAGGATCACGTTTTTTTTTTTAAATGCTGGAAACTAGAGTAACTTTGATACAAATAACTAAACTACATATCTAGGGACCTTAACAAACACATTCAATATAAACACAGAGAAAGCCAACGGCACATGATAATCAAATCGCTGGAAACAGTAATAATGAGAAAAACTTAAAGGCAGCCAGTGGGAGAAAAATACACATTACATATAAGGGAAAGTATATAAGGATGACTGCAAACTTGTCATCAAAGCAATTCAAACCAGGAAATAGTAGAACAATATCGTTAGCCTTCTGGAAAAAAAAAAAAGGCAGCTGTAACTATTTTGTTTTAGTGAAAATAGCCCTCACAAGTGAAGTTTAAATAAAAACTTCATACAAACAAAAGCTGAGAGCAATCTATTTCCAGCAGATAGATTTTATTTTACAACAAATGCTAGGAGAAATTATTCTGCTGACGAAAAATGATACTGTGTGGAAAGTTGCATGTAAATCTAATAATGAAGTGGATTAAGAAAGGCAAATAAGAAGCAACCTTTCCCACTCTTATTCCTTTAACTTTTTTTCTCACTATAATTCTCATTAAGAATATTTTGGGGCTCCAGGATTAGGCAGAGTTCTTAGACATATCAATGTTCCAACCAAAGCTGGATGTGATGGATCATGCTATAATCCTAGCTACTCTTGAGGCAGACAGCAGGATGACCTTGTTTGAAGTCTAGCCCAAGCAAAAATAGTAGCAAGATTATATCTCCAACAATAAAATGGTAGATGCTGCAGAATGTATCTGCTGTACCGGGTACTTGGGGGGGGAAATAGGAACACCGTGGACCAAGCTGACCTGGGGAAAGTGTGAGAACCTATTCAGAAAATAATGAAAACCAAAAGGGCTGTGGGTGTGGCACAAGTAGTGCATCAGGACTTGCCTAGCAAGTGTAAGCTCTTGAGTTAAAACCTCATTACCAAATGAATATGAAAAGATGAGCAAGAAAAAAAGCACAATTAATTATTTTTGTTTTGCAAAGAGAATAAAAAACACAACCAGTGGGTTTGTGTAAAATATGTTCAGATTACCTATCTGACAAAGGGTTTGGATTCAGAATGGATAAAGACAACCTAACTCGATAATAGGAAAATATAATTAAATTTAGAAATAGGTAAAAATATGAATAGACACTTCACCCAAAACAATATAATGATGGCGAACATAGAAAAATGTTCCACATGACTGGTCATTACTCTAATCACATGATATACTACTTCACATTTATACACTACTATACCAGTACTGTCTCCCCCTCTCTCTTACTTTCTCTCTGTCTCTTTCTCTGACCCTTTCTATGAAATATTGATTCTCTTAATTATAGAGGCTGAGAAATCCCAACATTAGGGTTTTGCAAGCTTGAAATTTAGGATAGATGATGGAACACATTCAGTTCCAATCAGTAGAGACTCAAGCTATGTTTCCAACCTGAAGATAAGCTTGTGTCAGACCTAGGAATGGCCAATATGTTGGGTCAAGTCTGAAGGCAGGACAAAAATAAAAAATGATGTTTTCTGGTTTGAAGGCTTGTCAGGCAAGACTGAACTTCAGAGAAAATCAGCTATTTGGGTTTTTTTTTTTTAGACCTTCTTATTCCCTGAGTCCCATCCACATTAGACTGTACAGTCTGTTCTACTCAGTCTACTGACACAAATGTTAACCTCATCAAGAAATACATTCATAAATACATCCATAATAATATTGGCAAAAATATATGGGCACTCTGTGGTCTAGTCTAGTTAACACAAGTTGATGCTGTCGTTGAGTGGATACATCAATTGATTACACATAGGATTTTTTGAAACTTTTCTGTATTCTGGGCAAGCTGGTATTCACACAAATACAAGCATGTTCAAAAAAATCTCCATAGAGCTGTACACTGAAATTAAAATCAATTCAATTCTGTATTAATTGCAAAAGTCAAAGAAAAGGACAATGCTATCTAGCATTAGTAGAAACGTTATCATGCCAAAGCACAAAGTCTGTAAAGACAATGGACGCTAACTCTTACAATGCTTTTATATTATATACAGAGTGACATCACATTTGAAGATGTACAGTTATGGGTTATAGATGCTACTTAGTAAGCTACAGAGGAATCAGCAAAACGAAGCACTAATAATAGATAAATAGGCCCAATGAATTAAAATAATGAATTAAGTCATATAAATTCAGGAGGGGGTGGGGTAAGAAACACAGGGTAGCCAGGTGCCGGTGGTGGCTCACATCCGTAATCCTGGCTACTCAGAAGGCTGAGATCTGAGGACTGTAATTCAAAGCTGTGATTCAAAGCCAGCCTAGGCAGGGAAATCCATAGGAGACTCTTACCTTCAATTAACTACAAAAAGCTGGAAATGGAGTCATGGCTCAAACTGATAGAGAACTAACCTTCACATAAAAGTTCAGAGACAGACATCGGAAGGAGTGGTCGAGGGAGGGCCAAGGCTAGCAGCCGGGCGGGAGAGGAGGAATCCAATGAGAGGAGGAGGGACCTAAAATGAGGCTCGGTGCTAGGGCTGGGTGGTAGGAGCCTGGGGGGCGTGGCCCTGCATTTGGGGTGTTCGGGCCACGGAGGGGCAAGCGCTGCTCTCCTAAAGGTGGCTTCTGCCTGGTGGCTCATGAGGCACCAGACTCTGGCCTCTAGCCCGGCTCTCTGGGCCTCCATCCCGTGTCCACGCTCTGAGCTGCACCTAGACCTGGTTTTAGCTTCTGGACAGTCCTTCTGGTGGAGGGAGCATAGCCCTGCACACTGGAGAGCCGAGTATGGACACTGACTCAAACCGAAGAGCAGCTTTTCTGCACTGTGTACGGAGAGAACGAGGGTTGGAATGGCAGGCCGACATTGGAGGAGCTGAATACTTCCAGCTGGATGTCAGCTTGGCTCAACTGTACAGACATTGGGGTTCTGTGGACCCCCACTTCCAAGACGTGGCTCAGAAATTCCAAGGTGCTGTCCCCTGCGCTTTTTCAGCTCAAGGATAACTCTACCACTTTGAGCCACAGTTCACTTCAGGTTTTGGGGTGGTTAATAGGAGATTAGAGTCTCTTGGACTTTCCTACCAGGGCTGGCTTCCAACTTCAATCCTCAGATCTCCGCCTCCTGACTAGCTAGGATTACAACTAGCTGCCCACACCTGGCTCATTATTAGTGTGGCCTGATTGGATGTGATTCCATTCATTCTGTAAACAGAGAGAGCATGTGCTATGTGACTGGAGATATTAACAAAAAACAGTGTGTGACTGCTGCGACAGGACCCCACTGAATGCCTTTTCTCCTTCATCTGTTCTTCCAACAACACCATTTCCCGCAACACTGGCATGGTGGAAAGACTGTGGCAGTCCTTTGGACCTCGGCTCATCCAGCTTGATGATGTTGTCTACTATGGCTTCCCCAGCCTGCAGGCCTTGGCTGGGCCGGAGGTAGAAGCCCACCTCAGGAAGCTGGGCCTGGGATACCGTGCCACTATGTGTGTGCCAGTGCCCGAGCCATCCTAGAAGAGCAAGGTGGGCTGGCCTGGCTATAGCAGCTTCGAGAGGCCCCCTATGAGGAGGTTCACAAGGTCCTCTGTGCTCTGCCTGGGGTGGGCACCAAGGTGGCTGACTGCGTCTGCCTGATGGCCCTGGACAAACCCCAGGCTGTGCCCGTGGAGGTCCATATGTGGCAGATCAGATTGCCCAACATGACCACAGCTGGCACCCCACCACATCTCGGGCCAAGGGTCCAAACCCCCAAGCTAACAAGGAACTGGGAAACTTTTTCTGGAGCCTATGGGGACCTTATGCTGGCTGGGCCCAAGCAGTGCTGCTCAGTGCCGACTTGCGCCAGCCCACCCACCGTGCCCAAGAGCCACCAGCAAAGCGCCGGAAAGCATCCAAAGGGCCAGAAGTTTAGATGGGAATTCCCCAACACTTCCACACCTCTGCTTCTTTCTCCCATCCACACCTCTTGTCTCCTGTTGGGGAAGGATCTCTGCAGCTACCTCAGGGTGACACAGCAAGGGGACTCGTAGAGGAGACAGAGCTGACTGTGATTTTATCTTCTTACCTTTATTACAAGAAGGAACAATAAAATAGAAACCTTTGTATGGAAAAAAAAGTTCAGAGACAGTAGCCAGGTCCAAGACAAGAAGAAAGAAAGAAAGAAAG